TTATGAATCTGTGACTTTCTTGGTCACAGGGCCCCTAATAACTTAGGAGTCACACAAAAAAGTGTGGATAAAAATACCATCAATATTACATTTAATCTCACTAACTGCTTCTGGGGTCCTCTATGTCTATTATTTAGAAAATTGTGATTATATTAATTAAATCTGTATTTGTTACTTTTTCTTTTTCCTTGGCCCGCAGTGACTCAGCAGAAAGTCTGAAGATTTATAACGCCAAAAACCTGGTTTCCATACTCGTAGTGGGCACAGCACAGATAGCCCATTGTGTAGCTTTGTGCTTAACAGCAAACAAACAAAATTTCTCAGGTTTAAGCTAGAAATTAAAAAATACATATATCATGAAAAAGAGTTAGTTGAACAGTTGCTAGTTTTAAGAATGTTATAAATCTTTCAGGAAACAATGCTATATTGATTAGAAGTTAGGATCATATATATATGATATATTACAAAGAAATTATTTGAATCAATAAGTGATAAAGATGATAATATTCAAGAAGGTGTTTAATGAATTTAATTTATAATGGTTCATAAATATATTTTCCAAAATTATTTCAGTAAAATAAGAAGCAAGATTAGGAACTGTTTATGTTAAGTCTTGAGATATCATGTAACCAGAAATATAGAAAAAATATATTGATCTATAACATTATATCACAAAAAGACTGCTTTGTAAATTTAAATAAATTTTTCATTCGTTTTTAATTCAATAACACTTAACAGTGAATGAAAATTTATATGAAATATAGTTACGTGCTTTTATTGCACTGTTATATATATATATATCATGCATTAGAGAACCTTAACATGGAAGTTATACAGCAATAAAAAGTACAAAGAACGGTTGGAACCAATTATTTTCGTCGTGTAAAACACAACTTAATTATTTCTTATTTCTATTTAATATTAGTAATGTTTTTCTTTACTCTCCTCTCTAACGACAGATTTTCTTGAACAGGTAAAATAATGTGATAACTAACAAATAAAATCAATTAAGGTCCAAGATAGTTGTACGAGAGTTAGTATTTTGATTACATTTTATTACGGTTTCACGATGACTGTATGTAGTTTGAAATGTGTTAAACTCACTGATCATAGCTCGTTAGCTTATTTCGTAAAATCTGTATGAGGTATGATGTGTGTTAAACCTATTTGATCATAGCTCGATAGCTTATTTCTTGAAGTCTGTATGCGTTCTAACGTGCATTAAACATACTGATCATACCTCATTAGTTTATTTCGTGAAGTCGGTATGTGATACGATATGTTTTAAACCCATTTTATCATAACTCGTTAATTTATGTAGTGGTATACGTGATCTGAGGTGTGTGTTATACCGACTGACCATATCTCGCTAGCTTATTTCGTGATGCATGTGATATGAAATGTGTAGACTGGTCTCAGCTCTGTAGTTGACTTCGTAATGACCGGCACGTAATTTGATTAAACTTAGTAATTAATATACAATCCAAGTTTTCTATATTTGCTAAATCTGTTTGAGAAATTTTGGCATGTGGAATTAATATTAATAATGTACTGATGCACATTTTTTATTTATTCAGTGTTTTTTTTTTAGATTAAAACAAGAAAGATCCCAATTAACTTGCAGTTCCACACAATTTTACCTTAAAGAACTTTGAAAGAGTTACTGCCCTCTAGTGACTTAATTGACAAAAACCAGACAAATAAAAACTTACTACTTACCAAAACAAATTCTTTGAATCTTTTTACCAAGTGTAAACAAAGCCAGCGCCTCACCGTTCTACGAAATTACTGACTCTCAACAAGCTTACATTTAACCATCATGCAACTCTACTGTTTTCCAGTGCTTAGAGTTTTATCGTGTAACCTAGTAGATATCATTTTATATGAACTTTGAACGTTGTTTAGATTTCTTCAATAATGTTCCTGTCCAGTGACAGCAAGCACTTTTTATAGGTTTCTATGTTATAAACATATAAATATCGAGAAAAAAATTAATTTTAACTGTAGTTAATTGCTCAAATTCATACACTATGATATATCATTCTATTATAAAGCTGCGCCTTTAACGAGTATTAATTAGTGGAAATTAACCAATAAGAATGCTGGCTTTAAGCATGAACTATAACCAATTAAAGCTGCTTTATGAATGCTGGATTTTTTCTGCCTCTGTCACACTGACTTACGTCACTGATCCACACTTGCGTCACTCTATTGATACCTGGCGTGAAGCGGTAGCCATGCTGTTGGCTCAGTTATTGTCGAGTGTTACCCCGTTAATGGCAAGGGTATCCAAGTAATGTATGAATTCTTTGTTACCATCTTACTCTTTCAATTTTGGAGATGTAAACTTTAACGGTATTTCTTGTTACTTCAGAATGAACATTTTAATTCATTTATTTATATTACTTTTCATTGAAAATGGCTATATAAATTGCAAAATAAAAAAGATACTTCCTTGTAAAATTGGTATTTTCAAAGTAAAGAGAGCAATATTGTGTTGGTCTAAACTGATTTTATTTTTGTCTACTATATTATTAATAATAAAGTGGAAAAATTCATTATAAGCTTATACAAGTCTTTGGTAAAGTAGAAAACACAATGCAGGTGTTAATATTGAAAGAGCACTAAACTATGAAGCGCTGTAGTTGATTGTTTGTCAGTACAACATAACAGTGCTAATTGATAAAAACTATGTGGTAGTTTCCAAGCCCGTTCCCTTGGCTGTGGTTTCGCTAGATACAATTTGAAACCACTGATACTTAAATAAAATTAACTTAGAAAGCTTTTTTCTTACTTTTTCTCTTGCAACTTTGGCAAATCAACTTTGTTTATCAAGGTGGCTCATTCGTATTTTTATATCATAATGAAACACTTTATCAAACGGCAAACATGGTTAACTTCTAGTGTACAATCAAATATGTGTTCATCTAAATTAAAGAAAATTCCTTTCAAACAACAGTTTGTATTCCAAGGCCACTTGAGGAAGTTCACCATTTGTTAACGTCAAGACAGAGCCTTTCCTAAGGACTTTTTTCAATTGTACAATTATATTTTAACTTCATCATTTTTTAATTGATGACGACTTATTGCAACTCATATATATACAGGACTAATAACAAAAAAATTAAGAATATTCTAGTAAATACCCTTATTTATCAACTCTGGAATGGAATTTTATAATATTAAATATTTATCCACTTGAACTTACTTGTACAGTTGAATTGTCAAGTGCACAAATAATTTTACAGGTGCACAAGTTGTGAGCAACTGTACACTAGGAAAATCCTTACGTCAAGAGTCTCTCGAAACAACTTTTTGTTTCCTGAAATACGTTGATTACACTTGCTGGTATCTTTACCAAACCATCCCTATTTTTTTTTATTGTAAAATTGACAAGATTCTGTAATTTTCATCTGTGAAATTCTCCAAAAAATCTACACATCTTCGTGATTATGGACATCCTGTATAGACTTTGTTTGTATGTAGTTAACCACAAATCTACACAGTTACAATGCACTTCGAAATCATACTGCTTATCATACACGTGTCTAACATATCAGCAGAACTACTAGAAATTTACATATTGTTGTGACATGTTTCATCCTCGGCAGTGCAGTTTACCACTGCTTTTATATCATATGCATCTGTGAACAGTAAAATAATAGGATTTCTAACTGCAAAATAACCTAATAATATAAAAAATGAAGATTTCCAAGTGATCCTGGCTTAATTTGTATGTTAAATAATACTTGAAGAAGAGTGAAGGTGATGTTTCATATATTTTCTGCACAGAGAAAATTGATTGCAATTTTAACATAACAGTAAATGTACAACGTTTCGATAAGGTTTTGTCATCATCGGGTACATTTGCTGTTATATTAAACTTGTATTAAAGTTTTTCTTCATTACCCATTCAAGTCGCCTCCAAGCATTATTAGTCTCAAAGTGGGTTCCTCGTCATCGAACTTTGTTATTTAATATATTCACCATCTCCATTTTTTGAATTTTTTTCACGTGTAAAATTATTTTGAATGAACTTTAGCATGTAACGTTATCAAGTATGTTTTTTCATTTTACATTGCTAGGGTGAAAAACAACAACATGGCTGCAAGTTTCTCGCGATATACTGGAACCCATTTCTTTTAACATGAAGAAGTGGCAGCTTGGACCATCACGAGCAAGTACCACGGTTCTAATCTCAACACGTGACAATTTTTGTAGGTATATTCTCATCAAGTTTGGTCGTTCTTATCTTGTTCTGCCATTAATAAATAGCCAACAGGTATAAACACCAACACTTCTTTGGCAAGAGGAGTTGTATCAAGATAGCCTCGCCAAGAGGTTTCTTTCCATACCATTCCACATGTTTCTTAAGGCCATTTCATCCAGTATTAAAGACGAATAACTTTACTGGCTCCTTCTTTTTCTTTTTTTCTTGTCATTTGTTGTATTGCATTAAATGATTCTTGTGTAATGCCTAATTGATGTGTTGATAACTAAGCCTTACAAAAATTTAGGTTTCGGTGGAATAAAACTGCAATGTCAAATCAAAAAGCCACAGAAGTGATACGATTTGCTTTGCGAGCCAATTTTGTTTTTTCTCCTGTTAATAAGCAATACCCTTTTAAAATATCTAAAGGGGTATCAGAAAAGGTGCTGTTCAGTATATCAGAACTATTGGTGGATATCAATTTTTTTTAAAACTTATACAGTCACCTATGTGAAAGAACAGCTTGTTTCGAACGCGTGTTATTTTGTTGTAAAATTGTAATTTTTTTCTAGCTGTTTTCAAATGATCAACTGTCTTTTTATGGTTGTAAGACTATCACTCATATGGTAGCTATTATCTAGAAATACGTGATATTTAGTATTGCTCTGTACAGATGTTGTACTCGAGGTAACTGGATTGGAGCAACATTGTCAGGTGTGCTTGAATTGATGTACTTTCATAATATTGTCATATTTTTCGGGGAACCTACAAATAAATCACATCATATAATTTAATAAATTATTTTTAATAAGTACTTCATTACATGGACAACCTGTTGTATTAACTACTAACTTATACAGAAATGACATAGTAACAATTTAGAAGAATATTATTTGCTTTGTTTATAATTAAGCACAAAGCTACACGATGGGCTGTCTGTGATCTGCCCACTACGGTTATCGAAACCCGGATTCTAGCGTTGTAAGTCCGCAGACATACCGCTGTGCCACTGGGTGGCGAAGAATATTATAGTCTTTCTTTATAGACAGATATTGCAATAACACCATTGTTTAGGCTTACATATAAGAACGATATACCTTTTACTGGTGCTCAGGACATTAAAATACAGTGGGCAAACCATAACTCTCAGACGGACATTTTAACTTGATCAGAACACAACCTGTAGGCTTTTGCTGGATACCAAATACTTACAACCCATTTTTCTTCAACAGGTCGGGTTGCCTCCGTAGAAAGCTGTGTGGGATTTTAAAATGCTGAAAACAATTGAGTTGACAATTACCATATGATAATAAAACAAAAGAAAACTCTGAGCTTAAAAATGAAAGTTATATGTGCTAAAAAGTCAAAGATCGTATCATTTAAGTAATATTACTGTCACTACGCTTCAAGTTACTATGTATAACAATGTAATATGTTGGTAGTGGCAAATTAATACATATTTATTTACTTACAGGGTAAAAAAACAAACAAAAACGTAAACTTCTTAATAAATCGACACAGGATGGGTTCTCGGTCTATTGTTACAATTCCACGGAACACAGATTGGCATTTTAACATAAGCCACAAGCTACAACTTGAAAACTATATACTACTTCTGAGTAACTGAAAGTAGCGACAAGGGACCAACAAGATGGCCACCTTATAACTTCCGGTGATTTCAATTAAAATTGTCAGTGCTCAATCCAGTTAAGTAAAGAGAACAGTGACTCACATCCTTCATTTATGGTTGTAAGATAAACTATAGATACAATGTTTTTTAGACTGTTTTCTAAAATAACTTTAAATATTTTCCGCTTATGATTGAACTTTGGATCTTTATAATATAACTAAATTTCAAACAGTCCTAATTCATATAATGTTTGCATTCCCCTTTTAAACTCTTGGAAATTGCTGACCTCTACTACTTTCAGCGGCAAAGCGTTCCGTAAGGAAAGCCACCTGGTGGCTCAGCGGCAGACTTGAGGATTATAATGCTAATATTTGGGTTTCGATACCTGTATTGGGCAGAGCACAGGTAGCCAATTGTGTAGCTTTTTAGTTAACAACAAACAAACAAACAAATCGTAACTCAATTTCCCTGTTAGAAAAATAAAATTATTTTAATTGGAGTCTAGCCGCCTATTTGCTTGCTTGTATTTAAACGCAAAGCTACACAATGGGCTATCTGCGCTCTGCCCACCACGGGTATTGAATCCCGGTCTTTAGCGTTGGAAGTCCGCAGACATACCGCTGTGCCACTGGGGGACCTAGTCGATTATCTCTTTTTCAACTCTTAAACTTGTGTCCTTTAGTCCCTTTTTTTTCCCCTTCAGAATGTAAAATATAGAAACCGGAGACCTCTGTGGTATTGATATCTCAGATAATCTTGTAAACGTCAATAAGAATTGTAGATATAGCTGAGTTTGCGCAAATCCGAATGTTTATTTGCTAAATTGAGAAACACGATATTGAAGAGATAACATTTATTGAAAAAAAAGCAAACGATATTGCAAAACAGATGTGGGCAATTTAAACATTTTCGTTTACAGCTCTGAGCAACACCCAACATTTAAAGTCTAACGAATTTTATGGACAATGCATTCAGAAGTTAAAGAAGCAATCGAA